CCAGTTCATTTCACATCCATCTCGTGTATGAGTCTGTGCTATTATGTCTTCTTTGATGTTTCTTTTCCTTTAACCCCTACTCCCGGCCCCCCCACCCCAACCCCAACCCCCCACCCTCTGTCTGAGCCTCTTCATTTAACATCCATCTCGTGTATGGCTACAGATCATGGCTCATCATTTCAGTGGCAAGGACTTAAATTGCTCTCAAGTTCTGAAAAACAGCATAGCACATGCGACCCGAAAACCGTCTTTGCGTCCTTCTAGTAACTCCAAACCCACGTGAGATGCTCACTTCACTCATTTTCCTGGCCGTATCTGCACGCCCCTGTTGCCATTCATAGCGCCCCCTCAGTTCCCCTCCGCTGTCCTGCCGTCCGTGGACCTCGGCTTCCCATCCCTGTGGTTCCTACAAGCGATCTGGACATTTTGATGCGGTTGGTCCCCTCGGGAGACCCCGTGGTGCCTGTTGGCTTCGGGCTCAAAGTAGGCCCATCTGCCCAAGTCGGTGGTACACACTGTGAGACCACTGTGTGCCTCCTGCCGCTTGTCCATGTGTAGACACACTCAGCTGCCGGCCAAGTGTTCAGCCACGGCCTGCAATCAAAATTCTTGGGAGGCCTGAGGTTCCGTTCCCTGTGCGGCTCTGGTTGTCCAATTTAACCTGAGAGTGTCTGCTGTTATGGAGCCCAGTCTCCCTCTTCTCAGCACCCGTTGCTTCGCTTTTTCCAAAACTTCCTGCTTCCTTTGCGGGTCTTTCCTGATTTGCCGCTTGACCTTGAACCAGTCTGAGTAGTATTCGTCCTGTGAGGATTAACTGAGTTCTGCCCAGGCGTCCTCTGCTAAAGTGAGCTGTGTGTCAATGTGTCTCCCTGCGCCTTCGTTTCCAGATTGTTCAAAGGGTCAACTGGCAGAGTCTTCTTGGTTCCCAACTCTCTTGGGTTTCTGGTTCTGACAAACCGGTTAGCAGGGCTGCGGTACTGCTACCGTCTTCACCTGAATAGAATGCCCAGTAATTATTGTCGTATCTGGACTGAAAGTGCACCAAATACAGATATAATGACCGGGCGTTCTATTCGGGTGAAGATGGTAGGAAGGGGTGTACTTGCCAGGGAATCCGAGAGGGTCGTGGCCTTAACCTGCCGTTCTGCCTTGGGGCAAGAGAAGAGACAGTGGACCACATCCTCTGCCGCTCCCTGGTCACAGACAGCACAGAGCTCATCCAGTGCTCGGCTGGGGGCCCATGAGCGGTGCTTGTTCTTCGTGTGCTCGAAAGTGCTGTTGTCGAAGTATCCTCTGGTACGTGGCTTCTTCGTTGGCGAGCTCCATTGTAGCCTGGTAACGAGCTTGATTCTTACTTGCCTCGACCTGTTGCTGTTGCAACTGTGCGGCTGCTGCAGCTTCGGCTGCGGCCTGCTGACGTGCTGCCTCTGCCTTTGCCAGCTGGCGTTGGATTGCCTGCTGGCGGACGGCTTCGTCCTGTTCCCATTTGCGCAGTTCAGCTGCAGTTGTCTCCGAGTATAGCTGGAGACATTCCAGAAATGCTAGTTGCGTTTCATCTGCCTGCTGAACTGGCAGAGGAGGGGTAACCAGCCTCTTGGGGCTGGCTTGTGAATTTGCGTCAGCGGTGGCGGCCATGGTCGTGCGTCGTCTGCACGGGATCTGAGGTGTCTTGGGTCCCTGTGGGGGCTTGTTTTCCCTGGATCCGCGCTCAGCAAGTCGTTGACTGGGGCGCATCAAGTAATCCTGTCTTCGTCTGCTGCTGATGTGTCACTGCTGAGGTGGCACCTGCTGATGTGGCACTGCTGAGGTGGCCGCTGCGGATTTGGCAATTGGCTGTTGTGGCACGCTGAGGTGGCACGCTGCTGATGTGGCAATCTGCATTCGTGGCCCGTTGCTGATGTGGCCGAAGACTGAAGTCCGCAGTACCGAGAGGAGGAGAGAGAGAAGGTAGGGGTGAAAGAAGGGAAAGGAGGCAAACAATGCACAGACAGTCCCTTTCTTCCCTGACCTCGAAGCTTGACACTAATCAAAAAACATGTCCTCCCCCCCAACGAAAATTTCGAATTTTGAGAAATTAAATATTTATTTATTTAATTAAATAAAATTTAATCGGAAAATACGAGTTAATTAAATAAAATTATAAATTTTAATTTTGGCAAAAGATTAAATATTTAATTCAAGAGTATTTAAATTTGCACAAGAAAAAATGAATAAAGTTTAAGCAAGATTAAACATTTAAACATAATTTTAATTTAATAATTTCAAGAAATTTAAGCGGGAGAATTTAGCATCATGACGAGGTCATGAGGTAAGTAGAAGATCAATGGTAGTAGGAAGATTCACAATTTGCTGGAAAGATTCAACTGTGAGGATTGAGCCCTCAAGTAGGGGCCTTGCCATGATGTACATGTTCTGGGCTAAGGCCCCAGCAAGCCTAGTGCCCGCCCTAAGTGAAGGCGGGCCAGCAAATCAACAAGAGCCCTCTCGGCCAACATTTCACGAAGTGGGGTCTATACAGTTGCAGCACGCCAGTTGGTTGGAGTGCACCGAGTCTCGGATTTCAGCAAATGCTGAAATGCCCAGGGCCTCTGAGTTTGTTAGGCCCTGGGCACTCGAACGTGAGGCCGACAATGCATGCTGGGTAGAGAGGCCGAAATGCCAAAGGGAAAATCGGCCCACTATCTGAATCTGGCCGCAGGCCTTGAGAAGAGAGGCGCAACTGCATTTCTCCGGGGCCCAACTGTATCGGGTAGGATTCAGCCTCTAGGTCCCGGTCGCAGGCTGAAGGGAGGCCGCCCACATGCTGCATTGGCATATAGGCAAGCAGGGCGAGGCAGCAGGGATCTTGGCCAATGCTGGCATATGCGGGCACGCTGCGCAGATGCAAGTGTGCAGCGCTATGCAGAGCAGCGCTGCGCTAAGACAGAGCAGGCCCGCGCTAGGCGGTAGGGCGCTGCCTGGGTGCAGGGCACTGGCGGCCATAGCCGGGCTGCATGAGGGTGCAGGGGAGGTGAGGGCGAAGGTGGTACTTCGGAGGTGAAGGGCRCTGTGTGGGTAACAAGGGAGAGTAAGGGGAAGAGGACACGTACCTGGTGATGGTGGAGGTCTGCATTGGTGTTGACATCATCACTCGCTGGTAGTCAAGTTGTCTGGTTGCTGTTCATTGCTGTAGTTGTAGGATAGGCTGTAGAGTAGATAGGGCGCCTGGCGCCATTCACAAGAGAGAGCTACATTTGGGTTATGCTGTTGGTGTTGCCCTGGTGGGCATGGACATTGACTCACGATTCTTTTGTAT